CTGCCTTGAAAACTGCAAGGACTCATCCAAAGCAGTCACTGCAGAGTCGGTAACAACTGAGTGCAGATAAAATAAATAAATAAATAAATAAATAAATAAATGCATACATACACACACACACATATAAAAATGGGGATTTGCAGAATATGATTAGAGGAAGTGCCTGAGCAAAGACTCTATGCTGGTGGGTGCATACCTTCTTGGTATTTTAAGTGCTGCACCACATTGCTTGCTCATACCTGAGCAGGTGATCCACTAGAACTCCTAGATCCTTCTCACACTCACTACAGCCAAGCTAGGTGTCTCCAATTGGACACCTATGCTTTTGTTTATTCCTATCAACATGCATAGAAACACCAAGGTGATAGTATGCAAGTCCAATGCAGTTTTGACCTGCATTAACAGAAGCACTGCATACAACAGGCATGTGAGATAACAGTTCCTCCTGTATTCTATGCTGGTTGAACCATGCTTCAAGTATTGCATCCAGTTCTAGAACAGATTCAGAGGAGAGCTACCAGGATTAAAAGATACTGGAAATCAAGCCTTATGAGAATAATGGAAGAAGCTGGGCATGTTGTCTTTGGGGAGATAAGACAGCAATTTACAAACATCTAAAGGACTAAGATGGAAAAGGAAGCAGACATGTTCTCTGTTGAAATTGAGAGCAGGATCAACAGATTGACATTAAAAAGAAGAAGACCCAGTCTAAATATTAGAAGGAATTTCCTGATAGTAAGAACTGTTAAACAAGAGAAGAGTCTACCAAGAAAAGGCTGGAGGTTTTCAAATGGAGGCTGAATAGCCACCTGCTGGAGATAGTTTTCACTGAGGCAGGGGTGAACTGGATGGCCTCATGCAATTTATATGTTCTATGATTCTAGGAGGTGTGTGTGTGTGCCTTTCATTCCTAGTTTTCATGAAAAATCTTAAGTAGTTTTATTTCAATCTACATTCATAAACATCCTGTTTTTCACTGTTCTTTTTCATTGATGTACACTGACTTTTAAGCTGATGCATTTTTTATTATGGCTTTGCTGAAACATTGTATACTGTGCTGTAAAAATAATGTCCTTTGAAAGAAATGTGTAAATCTTTTAAATCAAATTAATCTCTATAGAAAAATACATCAAATATGAATTTGAATTTTCTAATGATAATTTTGATGAAGTATATTTCATTAAAATAAGAATTTAGAAAAGAACATTAATGTGATTAATATTTTAAGTTATGGATGCCAAAAAGAATGTTATGACTTTTTAAAAAAACATTATACAAACAGTGTACTGTAAAAGTAAATGTAGCAGGTGGTTGCACCATTGTTCTCTGTAAATTTATTTTCCCAGCAAAAGTTTAGTAAATTAATATAATCATATCTCTATGCATATGCACTTTGATCTGCTTTTCCTGACACATTTGTAACCTGTGACCTTAATACAAATGCAAGATACTGATGCAGCATTAAGGCTCATGATGATGTCAGGGTAGAAATATTGTTGCTTTCCAAAAACAGGAAATTGTTGCTTTCCAAAAACAGGAAAATAAGTTTTATTCTTCTTCTACTATCCAGAATAGATGACCACAGAAATAACCACCATCAAACACACACAAAAATATTTATTACCTACACTCTTCCTTCACACACTTCTCCTCCTAACATTTTTCCTTCCTTATTTGAAAGGAAAAGTTGTATATCTGGTTGCTGCTTCTAACCCAGAAATTCTTCATGGTTGTAAACCATTAAAAATGCATTTTTATTTCAAGCAGCTAGGTTCAACATTTAGTTTTTGAATTCACGTAACCACTTATATTTGGATTCCATGGATGAAAATTCACATATAGGTGGTCCTACTTTAGATACTAACACATACTTGTTTCCAAATGAGACATATTTCTTATAGATTTATCTTGGTGCATATAAACATACAAAATAAATTTAAAGTATACATAAACTACAAAAAGCTTAATCATATCAAATTGCCAACAATGTGTAGATAATGTTACACTATGATCAAACTCTCATCACTTGTGTCCATAAAAGCTGGAGTTCACACATGTAATTATTAATCACTGGATTTCCTATATACCAAGTAAACTATACATACATATTTACCTCCCAAAGTGTTATGATTAAGCCGTGTAAATAATATACTTGCAATAAACATATAATATATATATATACAAGGGCTGAATTATTATTGCTACTACTATAATATCATGGAGTGGGGGCTGTATTCCTAAATTCTTCTATACATTTTTCCTACTGAATTCTGGCTACCATTATTGACCAAATCTAAACTTTTCTAGTATTTATTTAATAATTTCTGGCAACAATCCACTGCCCCCAATCTTCTGCAATCCATTGATATTTCTGCCAATTTTGGCCCACTCATTCTAATCTCATCTTCCCAGAAACATATACCTTGATTTAATGGACTTTGTCCATTATTTTAAGGGGAGATGTTGATTCAAATTTTATTCACTGCATCTATTAAATTGACTGTATATATTAATCATGTAATGCTGTTAAATTAGAGTAATTAATCCATAGTAAATTGTAGAAGGCAAGGCAGGGTGGCAGTATCTAGTTGACTTCGGCTGATCTCAAAAAAGCTATGGGGTGACAGACTCATTCTTCAATGGGAGAACACCAATAAAGAGCTGAAACTTAGATAGGAAGTTTTTAAAAATCCCAGAAGGCAATGATAAATCATTTCCAAACAATTTCAACATGACTCCAATGTCACTAATAGTTGTATCTGACTTGGACACTTCAAGCTGCAGAAGAAAAAGAGTACTACCCTACAAATCTAATTACACTGTGTTTTTAGAACAAAACTTATTTACACACAATGAAATAGAGGAATGTGAAGCAGAAATTTATTTATTTACTGCATAAATAAATGCAGTAAGCAACAAATAAATTACATACCTTTACAAGTCTTGTACATTTATATAATTTGAGTAACAAGATATCACATTCTAGTTAAATCTCATCTTGGTGGACTAACCTTCTCTTTTATCTTGACAGAATGTTCTCTTAATACTGCAAGCAATATCCAGGGATGTCCAGAGAAGTAAGATACTTTTTGGAGGCTCACCAGAACATCTATCTGATGCGGGGGGGGGGGGCTTGGGTGAGGGCTTTATTTTCTCGGACAATATTGTTCTGGAAATCGGCTGAATGATTGGTTTGCAGAAGGAATTCCTTAGGGATCTGATTATTTATGGTTGCTTCTGGCTTCTATGCATGCTTAGTTTTGCCAACCATATGGTTTATATCCAAAACTTTAAGATGAGTAAGAGTTTTGTTTTTTTAAAAAAGAAACATATTTTATTTACAGTAAGGGCTGATATTTTAAAGTGATATACTTGATGTTCTAGCTTGTTTTCAGTTTCATGTTTCCAATCTCTAGAGGCAAAGAAGATCAAACCAGAAGTCATGCCAGTTGTTTTGTGGGAGATTGTGAGGACAATAAAACTGCAACCTCTAGCCTGCCCAACTGAGATCCAGATCTAGAGCTAGTTAACAGAAGAGAAGAAAGGATTTAGATAGATGGTCAGTTCCAGCTGACATAGCATTACATGGCATTTAAACAAGAGGACTGGAGAGAGCCAAACTTCACCCCTATTTCCTGATCTAACTGAGTAAGCTTTAACAAACCTATTGTGTTCTTCAGTTTCTAAAGGTGATTTTTTTTAGTACCCTTCTCTGATACATTTGTTTGCCCCAATGCGTTACTCTCTTTAATTGGTATTATGGATTAAGACAACAATTGGCTTGGCATTGGCTCAAATTGCAAGAGAAGATACAGTATATGATTCTCTGGAATTAGGTTCTACTGATTCTTCTCCAGGGCTGGCTAAGGGAGTGGTGCTTTCCTTCCTTAGATGTTAGTTTTCCATCTTGGTGGAAATGGCACAAACACAGAAAAAAGCAATTCTATTTTCATAAAGATTAAAGAAGAGTGGGCTTATAAAAACAAATTGCTCTGAGTTCAGTTTTTAGACCTGATATTTTATATTTTTGTAATGCAAAATTAATAGATGGGGCCAGAGAAAAATTAAGTTAGTAAAGTGGTTTCTGCTACCAACAGAAAGGACGATTACTGTATTTTCAGCTATTTGCCTCAGCTGTTTAGGGGTGATGGTCCATGCATCCCAGATGAGAGCTACAATAGTGCATAAGGGAGTATCTTATTGCTTAGTGAAGAAAGGTAAACTACGCACAGGCATATCCTTCTCTTGTGGCAGGAGAAGGGGCAGCAAATTAAATTGATAATTCTCCATTCATTAAGGTAAATGAAAACTCTTCAGATGTTTCTTCTAGAGAAGAAGGAAGGCTAGAGAGAATGGAAACTCTATTTGCAATTTCTATGCTTCATCTCTGCAAAGCTGCAAGGTCTAGGTCTGTACCCAAATCATAGGGACAGGCATTCTTTGATACATTACTTTGAAACCCTCAGGAAATAAAATGGAAGGAACAGCCTTTGGCCCTCAACCTAAGGAATTTCCATAAAAATGTATAGAAGGAAGAATGTTCCTCTACCTTGAAGGTAACAGGGCTCCTGTAGAGTGTGGGGCGAACTGATTTATGCTAGGACTATTCCTTATTAAAGACTTGTTACAGCTAAATGTATTCTTCCTGAAATCTCAAAACGAGTATCTTATCCTTTTTCACTGAAATATATAAACCGGAGAATCTATATATTGCATTTATAGATGGATGGATCTTGGCAAATCACTCTGAACTTTGTTTTTTTATTAAAGTTACAAAAGGACATCACACAAAGAAATTCCTCAGGAAAAAACATAATGCTTATAAGATTTAATATGTATTTATATTGTGTGTGTGTGTGTGTGTGTGTGTGTGTAAATAAATAAAACCAGGACAACAATAATCTGCTGTGAATGAACTTCATTTTTCTAGAAAAATTGAATTCAATATAGAATATATAATTTTTACCACAATTTCTAGGTGCTGGTGGGTGCCTAATCATAATTATTTTGTTTTGTTATTTAAACATTGTTGAAATACCTCTTGTCTCATATACACACATACACTTGAACTAGATACAAGATGGCCTAGCAATATTATTATTGCTCCAAACTACTGATTTATTCTAAATTTAGTGTTTAGACTAATAAACTGCATTATGATTTCTATAAAAAATAAATAAATAAATAAATAAATAAATAAATAAATAAATAGGAGATATATATATATATATATATCCTATTTCAAAGGATTTTAAAACACTTCCTGAAAGAGCAGAAAATTAGGAATAACGAATATTTGTTTCTTCCTACCATCACTGCGAATTCCACATGTTTAAAATATATTTTTTTGCTCTTTAAAATAATGAAGTAAAAATGACTGTTTAACAACGATCTCCTTAAAAATCCTCTTTTATCTTTTTTTTTTCACTCTGGCCTGGCCTGTAGATGGCAGAAGAAAGCTTGCATTTTCACATGCATTCATTCACAGAGGAAGGCAGGTAGCATTGCTATACAGAATATAACAACACTAATTATTCAAAACTTTTGTCAGGTAGCTATAAACATGTGAAGCCAAGAGCCAGGAATAATTATGATATGCCCACATGACATTTCTCTGTGACACCAGTTTCTGTTGGAGGCTCAACCACTCTTGTTCCATCCCAAACAAAACTATCCTTGTCCCGCCCCAAACAAAACAGTAACAGGTTTTTTTCTCTCCAAGTAACAGATGAACTACTGTAACAGTAACAGATGTATTTTTTTTCAAGCCCAATATTAAAAGATTTAGACAATCTGAAGAGAAACCACAATTTCTTTTTCTAAAACAAATCTATATATAATAATACATTTACAAGATTGATTCCTATATAAAAAAATCAAGCAAATTTGCTCATTGGAGTAAACTTTTGTGTCATCCATCTAAATATAACTAATTTCACATGCATTATTTTCTCTGGACCTTACTGTGAAATAGAGATCTTGCATTCCAATAGATATCTTCAACTTCCTAGTCTTTAACTCTACATTTGAAATTCACTGTATTGTTTTACTCTGTGAACAACCATTTTTTTTGTATCCTAAATTTTCATTTTTTAAAAGCTGTTGTCAAATTGCCCCCAAAATTGCCATCCTTTCACTTATAGAATGAATCAACCCCATATCAATCCTACAGAAGTCCCATAAGTTCTGCAGCCAATACAAATAATATCTTTCAAACCTATTATTTTGCCATTCCAACCTTCTTCAATTTTTTCTTAAATAACATACCTCTTTGGTCCCCAAATCAATTTGTATCTTATAATATTTTTATTCTACACCACGACATGTATTTTACATTTCTCTGAATATATCCCATCTTTATTGTCTATCATCTGCTGTAGAACCCAGCAGTTCTATTTTGTCATAACCTCATTTATTTAAAAAATGCTGATAAAACTTCTTACCTGGCATAAAAGTCACCAGGTGGAATGATTTCCTGGAAAAACTGCAATTGGTACAGATAAAGTCCAATTAAATGGCCTCCACTGAATATTGCCATTAACACACAAAGGCAGCTGAAGATCAGAGGATCAAATGCTCGACAACAGGACCACCATGTGCACAAGCCCAAGAATAAAAAGAAATATACAGCTGAAGTCAAGGAAGGCAACATCATTCCTATAAAAAACAAATGGAAGGTAAATGTTATGTACTCATTATCTATGGACTAAGCATGATGTTTAAAAGTATTGCATCAGAAATTATTAATCATGATAGCATTTTAATATACTGTATTGCACAGAGTTCATGGACCAACCTGAGTGGCTCTCAGCACATAAAATATTATCAAAATATACTTTGAGAAAAAAAAATGAATCAGGAAATGTGTATTTCAAAAGAGAGCATGTTCTAGAATACATATTTAGATGCAAAAATGTGTTGTCAATTTTTAAAAAAAATGTAATATATCAATATGTAACTGAAAGTGATACATTTATATATGTATGCATTCAATAGACTAGAAATAAATTTATTCATCTAATGTGCTAATTTGCATGATTAGTTACAACACAATGTACAAAGTTTCTAAGTAATACAGCCCAAGTATAATCTACCTGTTGCCGGGGAACAGAGATGGAAAGGTGCTATTGTAAATTTGTAATCTCTCCAAAGGCAGTATGTTAGATACAATGTGAAAAAAATATTGAGCAAGCAAATTATTTGGACCAGTCTAACACAGATATTCTTTTGTTCTTATGATAATGCAATTTCCTGTTGTACACCTTGCCATTTGTAGGCTGGATGCCTGAGGTGGGCTAGTTTTCATAATACATTTCAGGGAATAATAACCATATGCAAAAGCAATGAAATTTGACGTAAATCAGGTCGCTATATATTTATTTATGAAAGAGCCAACTCTAGTGTTCTAAAAGTACTAAAGACAATCACAACTTTTAACCTGTTGGATTTTTGTGGAAGTTAGCAAAGGAAGGGAGCCCACCTGTTATACCAAGTAAAATTGTAACAACACCTTTCCCAGCTGTAGTTATAAGATTGCCAATAATCTCCTTCACTTTGGAGGCTATTGAGGCAATTCTGCGCAGTATTTTTAATTTTGTGGTTTCTTCAAATTCTTCTCCTCCACATTCTGCATCATCCAGACCTTCACATATTAATGCATCTTCTGCCTCTATTCTCTCAATTTCATTCTACAAATAATAGAAAATTACAAAAAAAATATAGTGAATCTTCTTAACACAAATCATCAAAAACTACTGAGATGGATTATGAATCCAATGACAAGTATTTCCCACATTAATTCCAGCTACTCTCTCTTTCTCTGTGGATAAACACTTTGTTCTTGCTTTTCCTTCTCCCACCTGTTGTCTAAACAATTACTGCACATGTATGTCTCCCGATTCTGCCCTGTGATGATATATTTCCATAATCTTGGTTATCTGTTCATATGTCGTTCCAGTAACTGTAAACACTTCCTATCTTGTTTTCCATCCATGATATTCTCTTCTGTCTAATCATCTCAATTCAATAACTTTCCATATAAAATCCTCTTTATTGTTATTCCCATTGCTTATCGGCATTGCTCACTCACAAGAGATGGGAGTGAAGTGTATCAATATAAAAAGGGCTGTCCGCACAGCCTTTTATTGTTGCTGCCCCTGTGGACTGGAACATGGGTTACTTTCATTGGAGCAACTGGTGGATTTCCAGCTGTTCTTCCTCCTCCTCCCAGTGGGAACACCAAGCACAACCACTGTCCTGAAAGTGTGGCAGGGTGGGGCTCAGAGTTTTAGCATTCTATTCCCCAACATCTTTTTGCAGGTGGCTGATTTCAGTGCTACCAGGATTGATACATCTCACACTGTTGCTACCCCTTCTGTAGCACTCACCTGTTTCCCTTCCCCTTCCCCCTTCTCTCCTTTATGAAGCACTTTTCTTTCAAAACTATTCCCCTTTAAGCTCTTGTTCCTCTTGTAAAGAGGGGAAGCACACACACACACAGACACAGAAACCCTTTTTAACAGAACTTTGCCTGTTTATTTAGGAGTGATAAATTATTCGAGGCAATCCCTGGCCCTTTATCCATCATCCCACTTATGCTCTAGAAGGTCACCTGTAACATTTTCCAGTTTTGTTTTTTTGTTTTTTGACAGCTCACAGTCTGCTCTCTGCCCCTGAAGCTCTGTTCTTCCTGACCTTGGTTGCTTCACTAGAGGAAACACTGGGAGCTTTCTAGCTGAGGTGTCTGGTTTCTCTGGCAGCTATAGCACAAATCATCATGGACCTACAGATCCCACTGGCTGAATGGGAGGAAGAGGTCCCACAGCTGATATACCTGGCCAAGTGGAGCCCAGTTAATTGCTGATCCAGTATATCTACATGGGAAGTCTTCTGCTGCAGAAAGGACTACTGTCAGCCCATTTACAGCCTGACTCAGATGGAGACTACATTGTGAAGTCATCAAGAAACAATGGGGCATCTTTGTACCATGTCAAGCAGGACACATGGGTGAGTCCTTTGTATTGCAATTCTCCACATTAGCTCAAAACTAAAATAGGAGGTGTATTTTTGGTTCTAGATATCTGAATCAAGAGATTTCAAGAGAAGAACCCTACATTACATTTAATACATGGCCTGCAGTTAAGTCTTCTCCTTTCTCTTACTCAATAAAACAGAGGAAGGAAATACAATCTGGATGAGGACCCTAGCATGGATGGCAGCAGACTATGAACTCTTTGCCTTTCAATATTGGTTCTTATTTTTAACTTTCCACAACTTCTTACGTTCTTCTGACTTGTTGCTGCCACAAGCAATAAATCCTTAATTAAGGGTCACCTTAATGTCAGACTTCGTAGAAGAAACAGCTATACAGCACATGCTATCCTGAACTATGTAGAAATAAAAAGGAGGGCAAAAGTAAGAAAATTATTAGTTATTATTATTAATTCCAGCACTGGCTAAGAATGCACATGCATTATTACATCAAGTCATACATTCAAACAAATAGTAACTATCAACATTTGACAATTCATCATCTGAGTTTGAATTCTTTTTCACTGTACATTATGATACAGAATATTATATTGAGCAGCGTACTTGCAGAGTTGCATATATTTGTACTTACTTGCCAAAATCTAAAAGATTTATAACTACTTCTCAATGTTCATGCCGTATAACACATAACAAACAAGTTAGGGAAGTTTCAAAAATACTGACATTGAGCACTCTTAAGAAATGACTATTTGAAAAGAAATCTCACTGAGCAATTTGGGTCATGGAAAAGGTTTTGTTTTGTTTTGTTGTTACTCATAAAAATGCTTATTATATAGTTAAACATCTTTGTGGAAATTTACTCAATCATATAAACATCTCAGGGGACATAGTATTTGCTGAGTAATAACAATGCAGAACTGAGGCATATGATAACTATCTAATTTCTAACTATACACGTCTACTCAGAAGTCCAAAAGGGTTTCAGGCTGCCATAACTTTAAGACTGCAACTTTAATGCAATAGGGTTTTTAAAGGCTCATTTAGGTTAAGTCTGAAAGCCCATCACTCAACATCATTTTCTTAAAACTGTCAAATTCAGATAAAGTCCAGGCAGGAAGCATGACTGCTACCACAGCAGCTGTGACTGCTACTGCTATGTTTAGAGCCAGAACGTCCATTAGTTACATTTAAGTATGATTTATTAACATCCAGCTTTTAAATATTTCCTCTGTGAGATACACACACACATGCACGTGCACGCACACACACACGCACCATTGTGCTAAAATAACATGGTAGATCTCATTGTCACATATACCACAGTGTCCACAGTCAGAATTAAAATCCATTCTTGCAATATGCAAAGTATTACAAATTGTACAGCATAAACATATCCTAAAATAATGGTTGGGACTTGTAAAAGGAGGAGCCTTGCTGTTATCATAGTGTATTTTAATTAGTCAACCAAGTGATTGCTGTTATTGCTTAAATGTATTACAAATTTTAATAATGATATCTAGCGTGTCATACTTACTATATTAAAGTCACAATATTGGTAAGCTTATATACAACATCTTGCAAGACAAATCATCTGCTTTGAAAAATCTATGTGAGTTTCTTTCCAGGAGGAATCTGTGAACTGAATCTTTAAAGATTAGCCCTGATTTATAATAATTTGCTTTAGGTTCTAGGTATTTTTATTTTTTTAAAAATCATACGTAATTAAATGATTTTTAAAAAATCATACGTAACTTAACAATAATTAATTCATTATATAAACTTACTATCTACCTAGTAATAATGCACAAAGTTTGTAAATGCAGCTCTGTAAAACTGACAGGTTCTTTCAGTGAAAATTTAGTAAATTTACGTGTTTTTTTCCCATAAATGAAAGCCAGTGTGATGTTAGACTAGGGCCATACAAATGCACCCTTAGCCTTGAGAGTTTGTTGGGTGATTTTGGATCACTCAGTCTCTCTTAGTCCAACCTCTTTCAAAGGATTATTGTTGTGAGGAAAACTTGGAGGAGAGATTGCTATGTAAATCACCTTGAACTGTTATAGAAAGCTGATATATAAAGCTAATAAATAAATACATTAAACAATAGTTAACTATATTCCTGGACAGAATTCTACAGTGCAGCAATGACTGACATTCAGACACCACAATGATATACTGTGATGACATTTTCCAACACTTTAACCGCTCTGGGGAGCTACATTAATTCCTTATGTATCTAGAAAGTTAACTGAAAATCTTCGAAAAGCAGTATGTTATACAGCTACTTATTAACCAGGAATTTAAGCTGTGTGTCTAAAGTTGGGAAGTTGGAAGACTCCTCCTCCCATGTGAGCTTTGAACAAGAGCACATTATTTTTCAGTAATATGCTCCCTCCCTAAGGAATAACCCACCCCCAGAGATATGGATGGCTGCTGATGTTTAGGAAGGCAGCCGTAATGGAGCTCTTCAGCAGAACTTTTAATGGCTAATTTTATGTTTTTCAGGGATTTTATGTTAATGTTGCTTTTTGGAACTTTGCATTTGCATTGCCTTTAGATTATGGATGTTGTGTATATACTTGTAAACCACTGAAAGTCCGGTATATTGCTAATAAATAACCAAATGCAAATAATGTCATTCATTGTTCAGCATTTCTTTTTAACATTCAGAATTGCCAGTTGTTGATGTTGTTGTTTTTTATAGAATTATATGGGCATTGCCCTTAGGGTGCATGAATAAAGAGAAATGACTGTCAGCTTCTTCCTGAAAGAGGATCTTTGTCTCTGCAAATATCTCCCAGAGGAGCCTGACACAAGTGCTGAAGTGTTTCACCTCCCTTCACACTGTGTTCTGAAATAATAGGGAATGAAAGTGAATATGATGTTCCTGAAACAGCCTAAAGGCACTTTTATACTATACTTACATCCAGCTCTGCTTGCAAATTCCCACCTGCCTTCCCAAATTTAGCAGCAGTGTTGTAAATCACAAATGAAGGAAGAGTCTCCCAAACAGTACTGCATTAGCAGCCTTTAATGCATGTTCATTTCAGAACCCAAAATCAATTAAGGCCAACCATAGGATGCAGGGCATATATCAATGCCAAACCAAAATGCAATATTTATCAGTTCCACATCCTTACCGAGTGGAACAGCTTCTGAAGGGCAAACTGAAACAAAACACTATTTTGTAATTATTAACAAGCTTTTTAAAAAATAAGGAAATTCCATTATAGAAATATTTCAGCATTTGACTTGATGAGTGGGTTTTTTCCTACAAGGCTATATTTACCATTTCTAAGACACCTGCACTAGTCAGATGATTGAATAGTTTGTGCGCTCAGAAAGAACATTGTCTATGCATGTTCATCATTTTCTCTGTAACACACAGCAGAAGCAAACAGATGAAAGAATGAAGGCTTTATTCCCTGTACATATATTACTTGATTCTTTTTATTGCTATTTAACTTCATCACTTAGGCAATTTGCATTCCAATGGGAATAGGGATTGGGGTGATGAGGCACTTTAAAGTGTAGTATGAGTACGTTGAAAAAGACACCGAAGATCTCTCTGCCCATGCTTTGCCCATGAAATTTGCTCCTCACCTATTTATCCCTTGTTGGGGGCCTTGGAATCTGAAGCATGAAATAGCCCTTGACAGGACAAGCAAATAAACACATCAGGGAAAGAAGGATAAGCTCTGCCTTTGAGTCTACAAGAAGTCTAGATAATTTACATTCTGACCAGAGTTTGTGCTAAAGCAAACTCGGCTTTGTTCAGGCAGCATGTGCAAGGAATAAGCTTGAGAAAGTCGCAATTTATGGAACAAAATGACACAATGAAAGAAAAGGACAAAAACTTTTAAGATCATCTTGTTTCAGAAACCACTTAGAAATATTTGAAGCTGCCTTATTATTCTGAGTTGAGACCACTGCCTGTTCTGTGACTGATAGAAAGGGAATGTGGAGATCATAGGGATTGAATCTGAGGCTCTCCGTATGAAAACCATGTCCTCTACTCCAGAGCTATTGCTCCTTTCTAAAAGTACCACAAGTGATATGAGGGAAGATACTAAAATCTTATGGTAAGTTCTTTGGAAGATTGGAGAAAGCTCCAAAATCATGTCGGAGTAGTTTAATTTATTCCACAACTGATATAAATTTGGGAAATGTATCCATAAATTGTAAGCAATAGCTCAACAATTGACAACACATCTTCATTTGACACAAAAATGGCCACCTGCACTTTAATTCTCTGATTGAAGCTGTAAAGTTAAACCTCTCTTGTTTTGTTCACGTTTTACACCTTTTGAAACGTGTCGTACTTCATGGAGCTTGAAATCTGGGCATATCTCCAGCAGATTTCACCTGATTTTGATTGTCTAAAAACAGACTGCAGATGAGCTGGATAAAAATGTGAGGCAATGAATTGGACAGGCACCTAGGATCATGCAGAATTTTTAAACATTATAATTCAATGCTAATTAAAAACAGACCCATGGCTCATTCTTGGACTGACTTCTCTGTCCACAATTTCTCTATTCCCTCAGAGAAATAGATCCCTCAGATATAACTAATTTTGTTCTGGATGGAGTTATGCTTTATTTGTGATTATGCAGGTAACATTATGGTTGAAAATGTATATATTCTTACTGAATGGGCTATCAAACAATTTGGGAGCAACATACCATGATAAAGAGTATGTGACTGCTACACAACAAAAGGGATATTTTTCTAGGAAGCCTTGCCAAGATCTGAATCCTTTCTTTTTCATTCCATAGACATACAGCTTACATAAATCAAGGAACCATTGCCTACTGCAGCTTTCCAATCTGTGTAAATGTGAGAAACATAGCTGTGCAATTATTGCACATAATAGTTTCTATACCTTATTGTTATATTGAAGTGACTTTTATACAGATTTTTTAATTGAAGAAACATTAATATCTTTCTGTTTGCTAATTGTTACCTTTCTGACAATAAAAGTAGAATAAGCCATTTTAAACTGAATGTGTGCCAGATTACTGGATTGGTATTTATAATAATTCTGGATGTCCATGTGAATAATAGAACGTATATATAGGAAATGTTAATGTTTTATAGCTTTTCCATGCATTTCTTCACAGAAACAATCACATGGTTTCCTGATTTCTAGCCTGGTGCCTTAACTTCTAGACCAAATTGGCCTATATAATATGGTTTACATACTTGCATTAGATGTCATGATTGACATAAATTACATAATCACATCATTTGCATAATAATATGTCACCTGCATTGTGATTTTTAACATCTGTGACTCCTGTGTAACAGACTCCTATGGTTTACATTTTTAATAAAAGGATGGTAGGATGTCCTCATTTAAAGGTATTTCCCTTGATCAATGCTACAGAGATACCAAAAAATGAAAGCCATTTGCATCAAGTATTCCCACACTTATGGGAAAGTGCACAATTGGAGTTGGAATAGTTCAGTCAGTGTAAAATTAAAAATAAAGCATTTCCCCTTCATCTGGAAAAGTAAATAGTAATGCCCATCCATAGCATCATGCACACTAGGAAAAAATAATTTAAAAATTAAAAGAGTAAGTATACACACATACCATGTCTTCATTTTCAAACTCTGCATTGTACTCTCCTGCATTCTCTTGTACTGGCTTTTGAACAATGTTTCTGCACACAAGCCATGTGGTCAGGCTAGCAATGAACATGACAATATCAGGAACAAAAATTCGGATCCCATTGCCAGCATCTGTCCCTTTGACACTGTATGAAATTGAAGGAAAGAAAGTCAGTTCTTATTTAAGTATTCAAACTAGTTTGACAACAACTGAAGGAAACACTTTTTAAAAAACATTTTGATTTTGCATCTGTATCTTGGATTTCATTTCTTTTATTAAAGACCACAGATATGGCCTAAGACTGGACTTCTGGGTGAGGGAATGGTAGACTAGGACATCTCCAAAGGAGTGGAGATGAGACTGTGGTGAAGACTGACAGACCCAGTCCAACAGAGACTCTCCAGATAAGGAGAGATGAGAGATTGCCCACCTGTACTCTGGATGGCTGCTCCTCATGAGGAGACTGAGGAAAGTAGTCAACTTGTGAGTTTGAACACCAGGAGATGAGGGAACAACATCAAGCTTATAGCCACAGCAGAGCCTATATGAACACTTGGTACATCGAACCTCACCTTCTCAAACACTTTTGGAATATAATTATTTTAAAGCTAACAGAGATCTTCTGAACATCAGGTTGGAAAAAATCTACCTGGTAAGTGATCCTTTGTTCCAGAATAAAGAATGAGTTAAATAGCAATTTAAAGAATTTAAAAGAATTTAAGCTTCATGGCAAAAAGCTCGACAAGAATTTAACTTAAGGAAGTTTTAAACAGACTAAGGGACTAGTGAAATTTGAAATATTATGACTTTTGCCATAATGCTTTTGAAATAATTAAAAAAATAAAATAATACCTTTGTGGGAACCTAGATTGTTCAGTCTTTCAGGGTAGAGATTGGTGGATCTCACAAAACAAAGAAACAAAGGAAATTTGAGACAAACCTCGTGATTATAGAAACATGAAACACCAGAGGGGACTAAAGAAAAAAAGAGAAAGAGAAAAGCATGTCTTTTACTTTTGTATTTGAGTAAAAGTAGTGAAACTTACAGAAATGATAGATAAAGATCCTTTGAGACATTCCAAAGGATTTTCAAGGAATTGGGAAGGAAATTTATGGCTACAATAACAGCATCAATATCTGCCTATGTGAATGTATCATTTAAAAAAGATCTTAAAGAAGAAATAAAAGATGTGATGGACAATAGCTTGGAGGAATCTATGGGATGACAGAATGAAGAGGTAAACCAAATCACAGTCTATGTGGAAACTTTGGAAAACAAAATAGAAGTTGTGGAATATAAGACAGGGAAGAAAAATAGAGAAGAAACACAAATACCAAGCCAAGAAATGAAAAATGACGTAGGCAATGGCCTTTTATTGGATTTACAAAAGTGTGCTGTTAAAGTCTTAAAAAAATTACTGTGATGGGAGAAAGAAGACTTGGATGGAGATCAGTTCCTATGACAACAATGTTGAATTAAGGATCAAGCATGTTAGAATATTGCACAAAAGAAAAGAATATAAAATTGACTTGTTTGGTCAGGGATAAAATAAGAAACATTCTTACAAAATACCGGAAACCCTTTATGGACTTTTTGCTAACACTGGATAGAACTGTTATTTATTTTTGGATTTGTTGATAGATAAGGGTTGGGATATGGGAAAAAGTGATCTATGTAATTTAATTTTAAAGTGGGTGGAGAGGTATTAAGCTTGCTTGTATCTGCTGTAAAGAAGATTGGAAATCATTTCTTTAAATATCCTTTCTTTCTTTTTTTCTTTCTTTTTCTTTATTCTTTTCTGCACTTCTATTCTGTTTTCTATCTTTTCTTCTTCTTTCCGATTTTAGTTTGTATTATCTTTTACTGATGTTAAAATCTTTAATAAAAAGTATCGCGCGCGCAAAAAAAAAAAAAAGATATGGCTGAAGACTTATTTTTTTGCCCTTCCTCTTGAGTCACAATTAGCATATCTTAAATGTCACTGATCAGGATATGGATATGCAATACGTCTATATTTCTAAGCTTCCTGAATGCCTCTTGCTGGGCTTGTGGCCTGATCCAACAGAGCTTTTACAGTATTATGATCTTTTGATGCCAGCACCTAATTGTTGTAATTTGTGCTTCACTTGATGGTATGTATGAAAAGCCTAATTTTCAAGTCTAATCTACACTTTCCAGTACATGTCTGCAGTCATCTGCACTTCTCCCTGATTCATTTGTTTTCAACTATGCTATTTATCCTTCTCAAGGAATGTAAGATAACCCACTCTCCCTACAACATTCCTTGTTAATTATCTGGAGAGGAAAACAACTTCTTCCTAGCAAATAAATATAGTATATTCCTGATATTTCAATATAGAAAGCTTTATCAGCTGAAGTAATATGCAGAGAAATATCACTATAATATAAAATGCATAACATAAAAACTACTTGGCACAGACTTTAGCAAACATAAAATTTCCAAGTCTCTTGAAGAATATGTAAAGCCTTAATAATCACATATGTATTTGGAAACCAAATACACATCTTATTTTTTCTGGCAATTACACTCTACAGGAGAAAAAGCAGTTTGGCAAAGTGTTCACCAACATATCAACAACACATTTGCCAAATATTTGCTTTCCAAATAGCATTATGAAGAATGCTGCTATTTAACAACTTGAATGCACATGCCAAAGTTGGCAGGCTCATTACTGACATAAAGCATGCAACATTTATGGGTCAATGCTGCAAATGAAAACCAAACTTGGGCCAAATATAAATCTAGACACTCCCCTCCATGCTATTTCTTACGCCTCATTTGTTTCCTATACAAGCCAAATTACGTGTTCAGAGCACTGCCCAGAAATAAAAAATATGTGGACCTCATGCTGAGCATTGATTGCCCTACAAGCACAATCCAAGAAGACTTAGTATCAATCCTATTTTCAGTGGACCATCTCTAGCTGTGTGCATAGTTCTGTGCTTATTTAGTTTTAATATGCCAGTACTGTAGTATGGCTGAAGTAATAAAAAGAAAAATGCAACATTGAAAACAAACACGGTTGGAAAACATTTGTGTAAGATCATCAGCTCAGGAAAAGAGAAGGCAGTCAGAAGATATGAGAATGGCAAAGGTAGATGATTAAATAATTTATAATTATAGTAAATCTAACTATTGGATTACTTGATATTATGGTGAATATTTGGGGAAATCTCATACAGTATGAGAAACGCTGCTGTTTTCTTTTTCCATTTCTTCTTTTCTCTGCAAAAAGCAGTGCTTCTTATATGAGATTTGGAAACAGATACTGAAGCAGAACTACTGATGGAAATGTCTTGAAACATTTTCAAGACAAAGGGGGCAAAAATGACAAAGGTTAAAATTATAAAGGAACATACCACTATTACTATTCCTTAACAAGAACTTAGGTTTCTGTATGAAAGGGGGAGCAAACACGGCCAAGTCACAGAGGAGAACATTTAAAGGGGCAACCATTTCGGCTAAAATGGCTCCTGCCAATCTGATGCCATCCAGACATGTTAGAGTACAACTCCTATCATTCTCAGCCAACATGGCTAATGTGCATATTAGAAAGAATTTAAGGGGGCAAAAAAATTTTGCCTTCATATATGCAAATTAAAGTCCAAGGCTTGCATGCAGTGCACCATATGCTAAATCAGATTATGACAGATTAGATATTCCCAAATTTATGATGTATTATAAAACTGCACAGCTGAGAAATATTATGGATATAGGAGAAAACCTAAATCATAGTTTTCCATGGAATTTCATGGCAATTTTTAGAAAGGATTAAAAGCGTAGCTTTCTGTGCTGATTATATTTTAAAAAATGGTTCTACTTCTAAACATTTTTGAAGATAATTTTGCAAACTTGGGAACTTGGCATCCTCATCCACTTTTACTGGTAGACCATTTTTTTTTCTTTTTGTAATGAAATATTTGGAAGGTATGAAAGGACAAAGGACAATTGAATTAAAATGAGGGATATACACCATAACTATTGCAGTTCCCCTGGAGCAAATAAAATAGAATGTTCAGAC